AAACTGCACATTTCAGAGTGGCCTTTTATTGTGGCCAGCCTAAGGCACACCTGTGCAATATTCATGCTGTCTAATCAGCATCTTGATATGCCACACCTGTGAGGTGGGATGGATTATCTCAGCAAAGGAGAAGTGCTCACTAACACAGATTTAGACAGATTTGTGAACAATATTTGAGGGAAATGGTCTTTTGTGTATATAGAAAATGTTTTAGATCTTTTGAGTTCAGCTCATGAAAAATGGGAGCAAAAACAAAAGTGTTGTGTTTATATTTTTGTTCAGTGTAATTTGCATGGGTCTAGAACTTTTCACATCTAAAAACTTCATACAGTATTGGCTGATGTCACTAGTGTTGCAGGGTGGAGTACCGTAGTACTACGGTGCCTCACGTACCACTACTGTGGGATAAGTTCAAAGTCCAGTCGCAAGAGGGTGAGTGTCCATGCGCCGTCCAATAACGGCGTGCACTGGCCAACTGTCACTCAATATGCTGCTGTAGTGGTTTGTTTTCCAGACATGAGTATCTTTGAGCAGTGAAAGTTATTATTTACTTCTTTTTTCTTGTCTGCAGTGATTTGTTTTCCGCAGAGCTCTTCATGCGAGCATTTTACTCGCATTTGCGACTAAAAATAGTTTTGTGCAAGCAAAATAAATCATTCAGCACGCTGATTTCAACCAGCAGCAGAAACTAAAAGCGAATCCTGCTGGTTGTGGGTTGAACGGGGGTCACAGACAGGAATAAGTCGGTCAAATAGCCTACGGCGGCTCCGTGGTGCAAGATAACGGCTCACTGGCGTCAGAGAAGTCCGACTCCAGGTCCAGTAGCCTAATTTCCTCTTTCGCTGGCGTCATGACTGCCCAGTAGTACCTAGATAACCGAGCCGTGGCAGCACACAGGTATGTGGCGTATCAGAGGAGAAACGAGCCGTTCACATTTCTCTCTTTGTGGCAGGTAACAGTCCACAAACCTCACCGCACTTTAGGGACTGTTCTTTACTTATGGAGGGACTGTCAGGGGAGGAGGGTGGCTGGTTGATTTTTATTTTATTTATTTTATTTTGATCCCCCCTATGTTAATCACTTATTGATGCTGTTTTTGAAGTATGAATAAGTCAATAAGTAATTTATTCCTTTGAAATATCATTGATGTATTATAGAAAAGTGATTCATCTTTTTATAAATGACAAAAGGCACATCTGCCTCATTTTTGCTGTGGTATTGTGATACTACTCAGAACCGTGATACTTTCACTGGTATCGTACCGTCTCTCAGAGGCCCAAAGTGTTCCCCTACTTCTAATTTTACAAATTAAGCACTGTATGTAACACAACTTGACCCTATATCGATATAAACAGTACTGTCTAAATTTATATCTTGTTTGAAAGAATATCAATATATAGTACATAGTCGTTATATTGCCCAGCCCTAATAGCTATGTCTATTATTTTTTACAGTCTATGGTTTGCCATATTTCTACAGTAGCCCAAAACTGAAAAACCAAACACTGACTGCAGATTGGGCCATTTGCATTTTTGCATTAGCTATTGTAGTTAGCCCACCTGCAACAAACGGCTTTGGAAAAACACTGATTTGTAACGGGCACCTGCTTTATTTTTATTTCATTTATTTTTTTCTTAACCAGTTGTGGATAATTCGGCTCCCGGTAAAAACCTGCTGAACAATAAATACTCAAGGAATCCTAACCAGGAGAAGTTTTAATTCGTTACAATCTGCAGTCCTCACCCCTAGATGCCACTTAATCCCCCTAAATCTTACACACTGAACCTTGAAATCACACCAGGGACTGAATTTCAGGATATCTCAGACTCTGCTGCTTTGACCATTCTTCTCTCTTATGAGTTCCCCACCTTTATGGAATGTTACATCTCTGTGACATGTACAAATTCTCAGTTCTTTCAAAACCAAAAGCAGTGCACAAAATTAACAAAGCTTAACTCAAGGCAAATATGTTGCTGGATCAGAATAAGCAGTGCACCGACATTGTTTTATTGTGAAAATAGACAGCTTTATTGAAGATATTAATTTTAACAGTGTGTGCGTGCGTCATCTGATGTAGCTGGGGCTCTGTCTGAAGTCCAGTGAATGCAGGGAGGTAGCCAAGGCAGCGTACAGGTGGGAGTTGCTGAACCTCAGGCAGTACACTGGGCTGCTCACTGGGTGTGAGCTCAGCTGGAAGAACTACACAAAAACAAAATATGAAATCACATTATAAGAGCATTAACTTTAGTGTTTAACATCTGGCATTCACTTCACAAAATGGTGTTTTAGACTGGTCCTAAAAGCAGGTGAGCTACTGTTCATCCTGAGGATGTACTGAACACACCTGCAGGCACTCAGTCTGCCGCTTGTCCCAGAGTCGTACCACACCGTAGTGTGAGGAGCCGCTGGCTATCATGTGATTTCCGTCTGTCTGGATGCAGTAGAGGGTGCTGTCATGAGGCTCCTCCCACTCCATTACACACTTCCTGTTGAGAAGGATGGGAGTGGGTAAACACACGTGTTGAGTTGAAGATCCACATAACATCTGATTCTTAAATGTTTTCAACTCGAAAATGTGTTGAAAAGATACTGTATGTAGAAGGCAACTGGACTACTTGCAGACCTGCTGGGGATATGCTTCTGTCTTTCTTTAGTGCAGACTTAAGGTATGTTTTCTCCTGTGCATACAGTCAGGTCCATAATTATTTGGACAATGATACAGTTGTTGTCATTTTGGCTCTGTACACCACCACAATAGGTTTTAAATGAAACAATGAATACCTGCTTAAAGTGCAGACTCTCAGCTTTCATTTAAGGCTTTTTTCAAAAATGTAGTATGAACCGTGTAGGAATTACAACCATTTCTTCACACAGTCCCCCGACTTTAAGGGCTCATAAGTATTTGGACAAACTAACATAATCATCAATTAAACAGTCAGTTTTAATACTTGGTTGCAAATCCTTTACAGT